GTATAGTGCCCGCTTGTGGTCAACACTTTCGTCTGCCATTTCAGTTTTGAAGAAATATCATGATTTTCCACCTGGCTTTGAATTATCCCCACGGGCTTCAAGGTTTCATTTGGTCAGCGATGGAACATTTTCGATTACTTTATATTATATAAAAGTATGATAATACTTATAATAACAGTGGATATATTAGTTATAGTATATCTTTAATTTAATAATTGAGGTTACATTTACTAACCACCAAGAAAGTGTCAGCATCTTGCTTATAACTCGAAATGCTGCTTGCAGATTTAATGCTCTATATATGTATTAAATTGTTTATTTTTTCCATATCCTTTATTTTATTTTATTATTTATTAACTGGCATTTTTTTAAAGTGTTGGTAATTAAAACAATAACACATATTAGATGTACGTAATAATAATAATAATCAAAATCACCAACTTGAAATAATGTATAGTACTAATCAAATAATATATATATATAATACACGCTGTACAATGCATCACATTTAATCAGATTGGTTAAATATTATACAAATTAGGTAATTAGTATGCAAGTCTGATCAGGTCTTTCCATTGTCCTCGACCACCTATGTCGGTGTCAGGTTTCATTAAAATGTGTTGATTACTACCTGAGATATCGATGGAAAAGCCATTTTATGTACGAAATTCCATGGAAATGGGATGATTGGTTTTGAGGTAATGGTGAAACAGCGTGAGGCATACATACACACACATACATACATACACATAGACCACAGAGCTAAACATAGACAGGGTAACTGCGAAGACTCCATTGCTCGTATCATGCTCGTACGCAGGGTTAAAAAACGACAAAGGCAGTTGTTTAGCGACATGTTAGCACTGTATGTGACAAGGACAACTTGACAACTTCGGGTTGCCGCGGCGAATATTGACACTTACACGCCTGCCCATGAACATAACATTTCGGATAAAGGACGTGTTAATTACTCAACTGCGTTCATTTTAAACGCTGTAGTTCATCTAATTAGTTCGAATAATTCAATCCTCGGGGCGGAGCTACGTCACAAGACGTATGGGCTCGGTGCGCGCTGCTGTGGAACGCCGGTCGAGCCGGTGAAAATTCAAGAAAACAACACAAACTCAACTTTTAAGTAATCCCGAACAATCAAATTTATATATGTTACACACGTAGGGTTAATCTTGTTACAGTGTTCAGAGGAGTCTCAACAATCATCCCAAAATATCGTTTTCTGCGAGTTTTGGGTCTTTGTTTTCACCACCGCCGGTTGGCAGGCGGTGAAAATGCCCGGATGTCCGCCTTGAGGATACGTGTCTGTATATGATTGATAATATCATATGGAGTCACATGGTAAATGAGAGCATCGTGCGTGTTGGCGCCTATGTAAGCAGAAAATGGAGTAAAGTGCAAAGTTTTCGAATCTGGACGAAACCGGGGAAGGTGTGGCTTATAATAATCTTTCATAGTTGGCACATTCTTTTGCATTCGTAATAAATGTTAATTATCAACTAATAAGTAGTTGCCTTAATGCCTATGGACTCAACTCGAGGCAACCGCACCTACATACAAGAATAAACTTGCCTTAGACATGGCGGAGTGATATGTCCTAGGGTACATGGCACATTGTACGTTGCTGGACACGTTGCTGACGGGGATATCGTTACAGATGGCGTTGTTATTCATAAAACCACCGTCCCTCAAATGATAAAACATATGCGTGGAAATATCACGACATGTTTTTTAGTTGCTCAAAATATCTTTGAACTGTTAAATTCAAAATTACATAAGCACATTTGAGACAATACGCGGATTGGTACAGTAATTTTACGCCGTTTACGAGCATTAAGTATTCTCAGGGCAACAACGGCATTCCCTTCATTATACTTTTAAATTTCACAATTCAAACTGAAACGAGAAGTTTCTATTGGCAGGTTGAATAACCTTGGAACAATTTCAAATGACGTCATTGCGCATCGTGTTCGTTGATTGGCTGGTTGGGTTTAACTGCCATTGACATTTATAAATATTTATTAAGATTGGTGGTAAGCCAGTGTTGCGCTGAGAGGAAACAGTGTAGTGCCTGCTATCCACGAACCGATTCTGACTGAAGGTTGGACCTCTGTGTTGTGTTATCTCTTCCAGAAACATTCCCGCTACTAACGTTCAATATGCGTGAAATTGTACATCTCCAGGCTGGTCAGTGTGGTAACCAAATTGGTGCCAAGGTAAGTGGATTTCTGTTTTTTTTATGTCTTAAGACCGCAGTCATAGCCGTTTAACCGCGCTATTGGACTACAGTAACCATGCAGTAACTAGGTGATTAGGGCGGAGTGACTAAACACCGTTACAATCTGTACTCCGTCAAGAAAACGCCGACCTGCAAGTGGCCGAAAATGGTTAAAAACTGGCAAAATTCATCAAATGCATGGTATACAGCAACAAAAATACATCTTTAGTCTTTTACTCAATATTGGTAATGTGACATCTGACACGAATGACTGCCATAGCCGCGGTTTTAACACCAGTTTTTAATCAGTGTCACAATGCTGCTGTTATCACCCAGTCGATCCACAATACCTCCCTTTTATACAAGCCTTGTATCATTGGTACCATTTAAACAATTATAATTTGAGTCCATGAATGTATTTTTTTCAGTTTTGGCAGTGTGATGATGAGGTTACCGCGCGATCGATGACTGACTGTCAATGGCGTTGCTTAGACACACGTCATCGCTGCTCATGAATAATTAATGATACACTGACTTGCTGAGAAGCATTGTTGCAGACGCTAGGTTTTAATTTTGGAATATCGAAAAGCATTCAAATGAACAAATTTCAAGGATTGGAAATGAGTGGGAATAACAATAACTTAATAAGGCGTTTAAACGCGTTTTCGCTGGGTTTCCTTTGCCATAGCGCCAGTTACGGTGGCAACAATTTTTTTCTGGGAAGGTAATTTTTGGTCAAAACTGATATTTTCGACTTCTTATCCGAAACAGCTACTCCGATTTGCTCATTTCGTGGCGATATGTTTAATTCTTTATTTTTAACTTCCTGAAAACTCCCAACTCAGTTGATTTTGACATTTTGCGTGAACTGAAGGTGCCTTGTTGATATCTTCGCTTCTCTATTTTTGTCGCATATTTTTCGTCTTTTTAGTAAAATATAATCATTCGACTTATTTTTTAAAACTACCAGTTCGATTGATTTTATACTTGGTATGCAGATACTTTGGATGTATTGTTTGCGTGATAATCAAATTATATCATATTGTGATTAACGAACGTACTGCAGCGAAAGCAAGATGTATAATACATGTACTACCACAGCGTGTTTATAACATGACTGTATCCTTTCACATCTGAACTAATTTATTGTTCGTAGCCGCTCAAACGTGTATGCCAATTCTCCGCTAAATCAATACATTTACATATTAAATACTGGATATATTTCAGCATAAATAGTTATTTTTAGGATCTGAAATGCATGTTTATCTCTTTTTCCGACCATCTATATGGCGATCGAATTGTTTAAGGATCCACTAAGTTCCCACAGTCTATACATGTTAACCCCTTTCCTCCGGCGTACGTATAAATACGTGTCACTTACGAGTTCACCTAGGGAGCGAACATCCGGGAGTTTTCAACGCCTGACAACCACCAAAACTCGCAGAAAACTCTACTTTTGGCTAGTTGTTGTGCAACATGTATTAATCTGTTTGTGTGTGTGCCATTTTCTCTATTTTTCACCAGCTCTTCGACCGATGTTCCACGGTAATACTTATTCCCGTGATAGAAGTATTCCCGTGATAGAGCTGCGTCAATGAACGTTATATGTTTGGACACACACTGCTGTACCATGGAGGAAGCTACTTCCATGACTAAGTTTTTCACAGGGTGTTTGTCCCTTTTTCGCTGGTTTCTGACGTCCCAAGCGAATAACACATCGGACGTACGGCTTGGTGCGCCATGACACGTGAAGCGGAAACCAGCCAAATGACCGTTCATCTTAAAAGTACGTCAATTTGCCCGATCTGGCTCAGATCAATCCCCATGGTCACACGTGTGCCACAGAGCCGATTTGACTAACAATCGTTATTAGTGATTTTAATTGGTCCTGTGTTTACACGTCTATAAACACTAAACTCGGTCGGCGTTGTTATCGGCCGCCGTGTTTCTTTAAAATACTTGCAACATGGAGCTCCTTCTAACTCCGTGCTTGCAATGAATTGAACTCCAGAGCGAGGCTGACATTGAGGGCGTGCTTATATAGCTGCTTTATTGTTCACGCGTGCTAAAGCCGTTTCTGTAAGAACGGGTTGCCGGGCGAGACTTGCTATCTTAGGGAGGCTTAAACTAAATCACTAGTTCTGTCTCGCTCACTAAACTTGAGTAGAAAAATAAGCCAATTCGGCCAAATAGAAACGTACTACCATTTGAAATAAAACCAAAAATATTGAGGTAAACATGCTCGTATAACTAAGACTACGGGGACCAACTGCAGTGCATGAAAAGATTCTAGAGTAATAAATGTCATTAGCATAATCCCTCCAACAGGAAAAGCACTGTAGTCGGGAGAGCTGTCATGCAGGCGCCCTGTGAAAGGGCTTACTCGGTACCTGCATGTACACAAGTACATTTACGATGGTTTTGGTGGCAGAATATTGGCCAAAAAAGGAAATGACAGAATGTGGGATAGTTAGGAGCAAGATAACCAGACTTACTGGTGAATAAAATAACTGTGTACCAACATACGTTAGTCGGTTGGTATTCAATTAGCTAATTTGCATAGTAATTTAATTTACTCAGCCTGCAATGTCGGTTAATATCAATTGTACTACTCTTTGTAGCAAGCTATGTCAATATTAGGAATAAACGATTAAAAGAACCATTAGTTTCGGAAATTCATCTTTTCGTCTCCTGGATTGGCGTAAACTATTTTTAAATTTGTGTTGAGTATTACACTTTTTTTAGTTAATTACATTATAAAATGTACCATCCGTCCCTTATTATCAAATTAAAACACGTATGTTTTTTATTTCCAACCAACAGTTTTGGGAAGTCATTTCTGATGAACATGGAATTGACCCCACTGGTACCTACCACGGTGACTCTGATCTTCAGTTAGAAAGAATCAATGTGTATTACAATGAAGCAACCGGTGGCAAATACGTTCCACGTGCAGTACTGGTGGATTTGGAACCAGGTACCATGGACTCCGTCCGATCTGGTCCTTTCGGACAGATTTTCAGACCAGACAACTTTGTATTCGGTAAGTTTGTCCCGATGTATCAGTCGCCCATATGGGTAGGTCTACGCTCGTGGACAGTGTGTAACGTTAGCTAAATCAAGCAATGAAGATGGCAGCCATATAATCCCCCCCCCCAAATTATTTTCAATTAGATGTTATTCTAGGGCCGTGTCTCTATTATGCCTTGGCCTCACACTCAAACTTTACACATACATCCCACATCAAGTAATACATAAACACATGCATTAGTTGCATGATTCAATTCATGATGCTGTTCAAAAATGCTTAAATAAACTGGCTTCAGTTTGTAGCATTTGCCATACAAGTGTTAGCCATCTTGTATTGACCATCATACAACCAGCAAA